AAATTTTGGCCCTTATTTCTTCGAATATTTTTTCTTTTTTTTAGGATTTTATATTTATTTGACAGAGACAGCGAGAGAGGGAACACAAGCAGAGGGAGTGGGAGAGGGAGAAGCAGGCCTCCCGCCGAGCAGGGAGCCCGATGTGGGGCTCAATCCCAGGACCCTGGGATCATGACCTGAGCCAAAGGCAGACATTTAATGACTGAGCCACCCAGGCGCCCTTTTTGTCTTTCCCTGACTCTGGGAAGACTTCAAAAGTTCACTGATGCTTTGTTCATTTTTGTTCAATCTTTTCTCTCTGTATTTTATTTTGAATGGTTTCTATTAATGTCTTCAAGTTCACTAATTTCTTCTTCTACATTCTAATCTGCTGTAAATCCCACTAATATATTTTTTATCTCTTTGTAATTTTTATCTCTTGAAGTTGTGTCTTTCTTGTATCTTTCATATTTTTGCTTAAATATGCTAAGCCTTTCCTCTAGTTTCTTGATAATCTGGGATAATACTACAAGATAATGGCTTTAATATACTGGTCTACTAATTCTATCATCCATTTATTTTTGGGTCAGTTTCGACTGATTTATTTTTCTCCTTTTTTTTTTTCATGTGTCATATTTTCCTGCTTTTTGTATTCCTGGTGTTTTGGAATGTTTGCCAGACACTGTTAATTCTACTTACTCAGATGCTGGATATTTTTGTATTCCAATAAATTTTCTTGAGCTTTGTTCTGCGATGCAGTTACTTGGAAACTGTTTGATCCTTCCAGTTATTGCTTTGGTAGGCAGGATTACAGCTTTGTTTAGTCTAGAGATAATTTTGCCCCACTGAGGCAAACTCTTTCTGGGGTTCTCTATCCAGCGGGAACAGGAGCTAATCTGGCTGTGTGTGAACTCTAATGTTGTTCCCTCTAATGTTTTTGGGTGGTTCTTTTTTTGGCTTCAGATAATTTTCTCACATGTTTACACTGATCCGGACTTAACGGACGACTCGATGGGGGAATTGCGGATGGTCAGAACTCTTTATACAGCTGTCTCATCTCTGCTGCCCTGCCTTGAAAACTAGCCACTTTGATTTTTGGAACTCGCAGCTCAAATAAGAAAACTCTTGTTTCAAAGGGAAACTACTGGGCTGCACTTGGCTTCCCTTGCCCTGCACCCATTGTCTGGAAAGTCTCTCTAGGCTATAAACTGGTGCAATTCTGGTGTCTACTTAATTTGTTCTCTGTTTCTTTTACTACTTGATGTCCAGGATCTTGAAAAACATTTTTTTTTAGCGGGAGCCTAAGGTGATTAAGCATCTGACTCTTGATTTCATCTCTGGTCATGATCTCAGGGTTATTAATTTGGGCCCCATGTCAGGCTCTGTGCTGAGCGTGCAGCCTGCTTAAGATTCTCTCTCTCCCTCTCCCTCTACTCCTCCCCCCACACTTGTGATCTCTCTCTCTAAAAGAAAAATAATAAAGGAAAATATTTTTTAAAAATATGTTTTCCCCCAGTTTCTTAGTTGGTCAGGGAGGTAAGTCTGATCTTTGTTACTCTAGCTTCTCTGGGATTAGAAGTCCTGGATGAGTTTCTCTAAAACTGACCTTTTGTAGGATAGATATGATGGAACTATAGGAGTCAAGAGTATTGAGGATGTTGGCAAAACTGCATGAAGCAATACATCATGAGGCTTAGGTTGTACTGGGAAAGAATGTAAGAAGGGTCATACTCAGAGAATGGACTAGAGGGCTTCCAAATTCAAAGAGCAAAGATGGCAGGAATAAGGCAAAGAGAACCTAGCGGTTGAAGAGGTTGGGCTCAGAATTTGGCATGTTTATTTAAGATTTCAAGGTGACAAGCTACAGGATGTGGATATCATTTGGCTCGAGTGGAGTATGAAGGACAATTGATGAAACTGAGGAAGCATTGGAATGTGGAAGATGATTGAACTCTGCTGGTAAGAGTTTCAGATGGGGCAATTTCCTTGGGAGAGGGGGAAAGAGAGCCTTATGTTAATCCAGGCTATGGGGTCAGTTTATTTACACTTGAATAAATGTTCCCTAGAGCAGAGTGAAAATGACTAGAGGTCATGTCTGCTGTAGAAGCTGGTAGGACAAAAATGCAGAGCAGCCTGGAGAGGACAGCAAAGGAGAAGAGTGAGCTGGATTGACAGGCTAGGCGTTCCAGGGGTAAGACTTACTACATCCCAGCTAACCAGCCTGCCCACTGATGTGGGAGGTCAGAAGCAGGCTGGCAGGTGGTGGCCAACCTCTCAGATGGCCTCCAAGGATTCTCACATCCTGGGATTTGTGTCCTTGTGTATCCCCTTCCATACCAAATAGGGCTGACTTTTGTAACCAATAGGATGTTGTGGAAATGACAGAGAATTACTTCCAAGGCTAGGTCATAAAAGAACTGTTGGCCTCTCCCTTGTTCCATCTTGGATCACTGGGAGAGGCTGCCTACCAGGCTGCAGGGACACTCACACAGCTTGGATAAGTGTTAGAGGCCCACATGCAGAGGAACTGAGGCCTTCAGCCCACAACCAGCATTAACTTGCCAGGTATGTGAGTGAGCCATCTTGGAAGTGGGTCCCCTCCCCCCATCAAGATCTCAGAAGATTGCAGCCCTGACCCGACACTGGGACAGTCACTTTGTGAGTGACCTTAGGGCCAGAATCACCCAGCCAGGCTACTCCTGCATTTTTGACCCATAGGAACTGCATGAGATCATTAAGTATTTATTGGTATTTTTAGCATTTCAGTTTGCAACAATTTGTTTTTCAGCAGTAGATAAATAATGTTGATTTTGATACCTGGAGCTGGCCTGTCTTCACAAAACTTGGAAATATGGGTATGAGTTTGGATCCAGAGCACAAGCAGAAGCCAGAAGAACTGTAAGGAATGTGCTGGTGGGCAGCTCATCTGCACTGTCACTTACATGCTGGTTCACCTTGTTGGCACATGGCAGCAGGTGTGGCTGCAGCTGTACCACCTCCTGAGTGTAAAAACCATACAGCTGCTGCTTCATTTCTACCTTCTGCATCTTGCACAAAATGACCCCTGGGACTCAGCTATTCGGAAGTACAGAGAGAATGGAAATCCGGGAAATAAGTTCAGTGAAGCCAAGGGGACATATTGCAAAGCTACCATAGCACGAACATGGAGTGCTGTTAACAAGTAGTTCCTGAGCTGTTAACAAGTAGTCCCTGTCAGGGAGCCAGGGGGCAGGATTCCCTGTTTTTCTAGCCGTCACAGGCATCGAGGTGTCTGGGAGGCTGAGGACGCCACCATGGAGGAGAACCCAGAATACTGAGAGAAGGAAGAGAAGGGGTGCTCAGCCGAGGGGTTAGCTTCTTTTCTGGACAAGGGGCAGAGACTCTTTGTGCTGAAAGAAATGAGAATCTCAACCATGCTGCAAGGTCTCAGGGGAAATCAGAAAAGCCACAAAGTGTCCCTTTTCTTCTATCACTATTTCTGCTAAGAGGTGAATCCAAGCGAAAGAAAGATAAAATCCAAGAGATTCAAAAGTCTAGAGAGAACTATTGGCTTCAACATGAGATGGGGCTTGATAACCAGGAAATGGGTTGGATTGCCCGACTCACCGATCTCAGGCCACTTCTGCACTGTGCTGAGGTGGCTTCTCACCCCGGCTAAGGCCACGAAGGCCCCAGCCCTGTCTTCATAGGAGAGAACGGAGGGCGCCATCTTCCCCTCTGGTCACAGGCCAGCTGGCACACACGGGGTACAGCTTCCCACACGTATCCATCCCTAGTCCCGTGTCCTGGGGAAGCCATTTTGAAGAGTACCAAAGAGCAGCTTTTCACATTTTAGGAGTTTATCAAAGAGAATTGCCTGGGGATGGTGAGAGGGCAAGGCGCGGGAGGAGCCCAGCAGTGAGGCGTGCCGTCCGGGCCCCAGCTCAGCGCCGGCCTGCTCTCCCTGCGTTGGTAGGCGACCCATCCCCTTCGGGGGCGCTGGGAAATCCCTCTCGTCAGGGCAGTATGCATCATGTACTCACCACGGGCCTAAGATGCAGGCGTCAACCTCAGTCCCCTCGGTGGACGACCTCTGCTCTTGTCGTCCTTACTCATCAAGGTCCCCAGAGCGGGCAGGAATCACCACCCTCCAGCCTCCCCATTTTCCGGAGTGGGCGATGGGTCCCATATCCCTGTCTCAGCAGGAACGGCATTTCCTTTCACTGGGTGTTGTAACGAGGGGGCCTGTGCTCCTGCCGCTGTCCCTCTGCCTCCCCTGGGTCCCAGAGGCACCTGGCACCAACCGGCTGGGGTGACTTTGGACGGGTTATTTGATGTCTTCCAACCTGAGTCTCTCCAGCTGTAAGATGGCTCCATTTCTGTCACGGGGAGGGCCTGCTGCCTCGTGGGTACGCGCTCTGCCTAGGCTCTGACACAGAACTGGGTGTTTGGTAAAAGTTCATCCTCATTGTCTGTTATAAATCATTTAACATAGCCTGCAACTCAGTTTGAAGAGATATTGTAAGTGCACGGCCTAGCCTCCTCCTTCAGGGGTCAGGCAGAGCCCTTGAGGAGCGAGGAGTAGGCCGCCCTGCATGATCTTTCCCTCTGACAGGGACTGTCTTGTTCAGCTTTGTGTCCTGCTTTAAATGCACTCTGATCCTTTAACCCTTCAAAAACTGTTCTCTCAGCAAGTTTCAGGTTTGAACGAGGCCCGGAGAGGACACAGGTCACCGACGCTGGCTGAGGTGAAACAGAGAAAGGAAGAGGTTGTTTTGGTCAGGAAGCTGGGCCCCGGCATCAGCCCAGCGCACTCTGAAACAGTGTGCCAGGGGTGGGCGTCTCTGGGGCTTGGGTTTCCTCAGCCCCGGGGAGGCTCCCAGGATGGGCCAGGATTTCTCATTGACAGAAGTTCTCTCTCGAAAATCCCGACCCTACCTGCTCCAGGCCAACAGACCCCATCTGTCTGCCAGGGGCCTGCAGTGACCAGAGCTGCGCCCCATTGCCGGGGCGCTGGGACACCAGGAATACAGCAAGACTGGTCATGGGTCTTTATTTATTGAGAAAGAATTCACACAAGGTCACATCATACAATCAGTCATTTCCTGCGCTTCATAAAAATGATTGTCATTCACTGTGCTTCACAAAAATTTCTTTTAATGAATAAATAATTTGATGAAATCAAAAATATTTACAATATAAACAAAGGGAAGAGCTTTGGATCTGTGAATCTGATCATCGAGCTTTGCATTTTTGAACTGACTTCTTCCAAGCTTTTCCCTTGGAAACAATACAAATCTGATAGAAACAACAACTCATACAACATATCTTTGTTCATTATACGTTTATCGGTTAGTCCTGGAAAGGTACATAAGCTTATACTATGCAACATGTTAAAATACAAATATTAACTAAAATAATATATTATCATGATGCCAGGTAGCATTCTCCACAAAACAAAAATGTACACTCAGCCGTAACAATAACAAAGGTTCACGGGCCACAAAATAATACTCCAAAGGTACAAACTCCTTCATAAGAATATAATTGTGCTCTTCGGTTTACCAGATGTCTACACTGCTCTAACAAGCCGACGCCTAGGAGGACAGTATTTGACGACTCTGCTGTGTGTGGTTTTCCGTCAGGCAGCAGCATTGCTGGGAATTGGGCAGTGCAAAGCAGTTTTAGAAACACTTTCTTGGGCTCTTAAAAAGAGCCAATTATGCAAAGCAAAATAAGCATATTGAGAAGTCTTCATCTCATCAACACAAATACCATGGAACGTCTTGGCTTTGTGAGATGAAGGGGTTGGTGTGCAGAGCTGTTTATGCCATCAGCCAGAATTCAAGTATTCCAGAGCCACCTCGTAGCAGAACTTGTACTGATCCTGGAAAGCAGAAGGGCAAAGATGTCAGCTATGTGATATCCAAAGGCCGGCGCCATTGAAGCAATTATGCCAGATTAGGGTTCTAATTGGAAGAAATCCAACTGAGAAGGATTTGAATCAGCAATGAATCAGAAAATCACGGTTGTGAACCACAAACCTATCCGCTGTCTGGAGACGTTCCCCACAGGGCCTGATGAAAGGCATTTTGACATCTACCTTCACTAGAATTTCTGGAAAGTTCTGCACAACTGGAACACATACAGTGTGTTTGTCCACACATATATGTTTACCTGTACATCAACATCCTGAACACAAAGTATGGGAAAATCGAGAGGTAGGAGGGAAAACAAATGAAGTCTGGGGGAAGTAACTGCGATTTGCTCATACAAGGGCATCAACAAATAAATGCATCACTCCTGGCCCAACTATACCCTCGACTTTCAGTCAGCAGGATGCCTTCCATTTTATGAGACTTTATCAAGCACCTCTTAAATACCAAGCACCTTGACCTGGTCCCTGACTTTGAGAAGCCCGTGGTCCAGCGAGGAGGCTAAGACCCGTACCCAGTGATAACATGGTGCAGAGTTGAGCCAGGGCCTGAGAATGGTCCCCTGATATGGGTGCAGTGGAGTAGAGAGCAGAACTTCCTAGGGAGGACCTGCAAAGAGGGAGCAGGTAACTAACTGCTAACTCCTAATGGGGGTTAAAACTGGCATCCCAGGTAGAGGAACTGGATAAGGAAAGGCCCAGAGGGGAAGTGTTGGATACCCGCTGGGAGCCACCTCTCAGTTGTTAATCAGGCAATAAAGGCATTTTTCTTGAGCACAGCTTTCTCAGATCATGGACCGCGGCCTGAGGAAGACCTACATGAGGTCCTGGCCCAGCTGGGGTCTCAGGTGTTAGGAGAGGGCATTCTGCACCTGTGTTTGTGTGGTGTGCTGCTGGAAGCTCACCTGGGTGTGGCCTCTGAGCCAAGCAGAGGGACACAGCAGTTGAAGATGCTTCTATTTGCCACCTGGCAGCAGCCCAGCAGCTGGGACAGAAGGGCTCAGCATCTAGAAGGCTCTCTTCCCATCTCCGGAAGAGAGAAGCTTTCACAAGGTGTAAGAGTGCACACCACAGTCTCACTACCCAACACAATGGCCACAACCAAGGAAATGGATCTCTTATATTTGGGTTTGCCAAATTAATTAAAACTAAATTTCCGTTTTTGGGATATGTGCCTCTTAATTAATTAGTCACTGCAATTTTCTTGTCTTCACCTACATTTTGTTCTCTATATGCCCCACTAGTCCAGCCTATGTATTTGAAGACAAGAGCCATACTTTATCCCTTTGTGTGTAATACACCAGTCTTTAGCACAGCACCTGACAAACAGTTGTGGGGTCAAACGTCGGCTGTATATGTAAATGATGACAAAATACGGGTTTAGCAAGCATTTCATTCAACCCAGTAAACACTGAAGGCTAGAGACTAGGGAGTTTAAGATGCAGCTTTAGTCCTTCAGGAGTTTACAATCTGGAGGGGAAGACAGGAAGCAAACAGACCATCTCGGCATACTAGAGGGACCACAACATTCAAACATCAGTAGCAGTAGCACCCACCAGGCTGGCTAAGATAAAAAAAGACAGTAACAAGCGTTGGCGGGGACAAGGAGCAACTGGATCCTCATACGCTGCCGGTGGGAGTGTGAAAGGTGCAGCCACTGTGGAAAATCCTCTGGCAGGTCCTCAAAAGGTTAAACGGAAGAGTTACCCCGTGGCCCAGCAATTCCACTCCTAGGTATATGCCCAAGAGAACTGAACATATGTCTACACCAAAGCTTTCTGATTCATATTTTAGGATTTGATACTTTTATTTTCAAAATATTTAAAAGAAACCATTTGCATTTCAAAATTCTAAAAGGCCGTGTTGTCAGATCGCCAGGATGACATATTGGCTATGAAGTGGTCAACGCTGTTCTCCTGTCTCCTTCACGGAGACAGTTAATGTTTTTCATGGAAATCTGAGAGATCCGATTACTGCATAAACCTAATTGCGCAATTTCAGTGCCTACTACGAACCATCCTTTTAACATATGATCATGCATTTAGAGAGTCATCTAGCTGCTGGCCTCCGGGCACAACCCCAAAAGGATTTGGGGCTTCACTGCTAAGGGGCTGCTGTGTTGAAAAATCAGTGAAGCTGCCCTGTCCCAGGCATGACTACAATTTTCAAAATGAATTCGCCATCATCTCATCCCTCCTAAGCAAACTGTCAATCCCAATAGATTCTGTGATGACTGGTTTCTGAATCAGAAAAATAAAGGGAGTGAGAAGGAAGACCATAAATTGTTGCATGCCCTCCCCCAAGCACCCCAGGAAATGCCTGAAATCCTCCTGTGTTGCAAACTATTACCCTTGATCGCCAGGTACAGGCCTGTCTTCTGCGTTTTCCTCTCTCAACTTGCTTGCTTTTGAGCGGTGTAATTAAGCCACATGAGCTATTCCTGTGCTTCAGGGAGAAAAAAGAACATTTCTGCCCGGGTCCCAAGTTCTCCTGATTTGGGCAACATTAGCTGGCTTTGGGCATGAAAAAGTGACATGAGCAGGGGTTGTCCTTGGGCCGGACCAGAACCAGGGCAGCCAGCTACTCTCCTCCCAAGCCCCCGACCCCACCTTCACTGCAGCCCCACCTCCTGTTCTCCTGAAGAGGGAGAAAGTGAACTCTACAGAGGCACCTACAAGTGAGGTTCTGTTTTAAAGCCCCCACCCCCCACCCTGTTCACTCAGTGAGGACATCACCAGGCCATGAGGCCTGCAAATGACTCTGGGGAGCTCCCTGAAGGGCTCAAGCTGTGCCCGTGTCTGAGGAACTTGGGGCCCTGCAGTCCCTCTGGGCACTTCCAACGCCCCGCGCTGCCTGCCCGAGAAGATTCAGAAAGCAGTCTGCATGGCTCACCTGGGGCAGCACTGCCCTCCCTGACGTACGTGCTTTTTGAACCTAAAACAAGTTTCACAGTTTCACCTGCTGACAGGTCCCACAGTCTGGAAAAACCCTTTTGACTGATGTCCCTGCCCGGAGGGTCAAGTGGTCCCCAGTGTGCCAGTCATCGTGGGTGGGGCCGGATGCTTCGAAGTTCAGAGCACGTTCCCAGCCAAGGAGACCCCTCGATGAGACAGCGATGTGTCTCTGACAACACACGGAATGGGTCATTACTTTCATCTCTGCCTTTAAAAATGTAGGGAGGACGTTCTTCCCTCGGAGGTCCACACACAGTTTGTGCCTGGTTCCCTAGTGAGACTCATCAGTGTGTAGCCACGGCCTCCCCGGGTTCCAAGAGCAGCGAGGGGCCGCTCAGGACGGGCAGGGGTCTGGGTGCAGGGAAGAAATGTGCTGTCACGCAGCAACTATCTACTGGGTCCTCCTCCGAGCCAGGAGCTCTGCTGGTGCTGAGGGGGTTACCAGCCCCTAACTCAAGGATGGCAGAGTCTGGGGCGGGGGAGGGCACAGGGCTTTCATGAAGATTACTTCCTTCAGAGTGCAGGAAGGCTGACCGTGGGAAGACTCGAGGAGAGTGGCTGCTTCTTCAGGTGTGGCAGGGCCAGGCCCAAGGGAAGGGGAGTGCCCCCAAGGGTCTCCCGAGACAGGCCACACTGTGCCTCTCTGACTCCCCGCCTGAGGCCTATGGCCTCCACTCCAACACTTGCACATACGCACACCTACACCTGCTCCCCCATCCACCCCTACACATGTGCGCCCACACACACGCACACACATATACTCACATACACATACCCAACCCCCCACCCCTATTCGTGCACACCCACACCTACACACCCCCCACATCCACTCTTACACATTTATGCACGCACCCCCACACCCCTACACATGCACACTCCCTCAGATCCACACCCGTAGAGACGAGATTGGGCACATACAGGGTGGTATGGCTGTCACCCACACACGTACATTCACCCCTCCTCCACCCTCCCACCTCCCTCCCCCACCTCCTTTCAAATAGCCTGTTTCACAGTTCACAGGTGACCTCTTGGGGGGGGCAGTTCATACACACAGGTTAGTAGATTCATTGTGTTGTCCACATGAGAGGAAGGCCCCACACTCCATGCCATTTTGTAGGGAGTGCTTTGCACCGAATATTATTTTAGTATACTGAAGGGCCAAGTGGGGCTGGGTGTGGGTAGCGAGCTCCAAATTATAGATATCGGGAGATATTGGCAGAGGGCTGGGTCTGAGCAGGAGGGATGGAGGGACAGAGGTGGGGGGGGTGGGGACGTGGGTTTGGACATGCTCTGCAGCCAGCATGGGGAAAGGGACAGCCTGCTCACCCTGGTGAGCCATGGTCTCACCCGCAGCCCACCAAACTCACTCGTCTTGGGCTCCATCTGCCATAATTGGTCTGGGGCATGGCCTGGGCCTTGGCATTTGTGACAGCACCTCAGGTGATTCCAATGGACAGCCCTGGCTGAGAGCCATCTAGACGGGGCACCAAGGTTCTTGACCCTACTACATATTAGAATCACCTGGGCTGCTTTTAACATCTGGCTGCCGCAGCCAGGCCCCAGATCAACTGAATCATGGTCTCTGGGGTGGGCCCAGGGCTCAGGATTCTTTAAAGCTTTCATTAAAAAAAAAAAAAAAAAGCCAATTTATAGGAACAGATTACATGGTGGTTGCCAGGAGCTGGGGGTGAGTGAATGAGGTGATGTTGGTCAAGGGTACAAATTCTCAGTTATAAGAAGTTTTGGGGATCTAATGTACAGAACGGTGACTATAGTTAGTGATACAGTATTGTATATTTGAGAGTTGCGGAGGACAGATCTTAAGCATTCTCCCCACAGACACACATGAGTCAAGTATGTTACCTAAGTGGGGTGATGGATATGTTAACTATCTTGATCTTGGTAACCATTGTACAGTGTATATGTATGTCACATCTCATCATGTTGGCTAGAGTTCCCCCACCTCCCAGGAGATAATATGTTTCTTGAGGAACGATCTGTCCCCCAAAGGTTGTTTCTCTGTTAAAACAGAGCCCTGGGGGAAAAAAATAAAATGGAGCTCTGGAAACTTCTAAAGCCCAGTGAGGACAAAAGTGAGAGAGGAGATGTTTGTTGAAGCAGCCCATTTCCCCGAAAACTTCAAAGGAGCTCAGGCACTGGGGACTCCATCTGAATCTAACCAGGCAAGAAGGAGGTAGGAGGGAGCACCCCCTCCCCCCCAGCAACTGAGCACCTCCTGTAGGGCCCAGGCGTTGGCCCTCCACACCCCATTCCCTCTGCCTCCCCAGCCGGCCAGCAGAGAAGTGCGCTCCAGGACTTTCTGGAACACATTTCATCATTCTAAGATGCAGCTAGGAAGACTCAGTACTCCGTGCTTTTCAGCTGCTGGTACAACAGTTTGTGCTTAGGAGAGACTCAGGTCTCAGATGGTCTTTTATGCCCAATGAAATTGTATTGGGTTTTATCACCCTGACCTGAATTAATTAATTCTCTCAGCCAACATACATGTATATGACTGCCTAACCAAAAGAAATGGTACTTGTAAGCAAAAACAAACGAACGACATGGGTCCTTATTTAATTCAGGACGCTTCTAGCCCACTCAAAAGAGCCCTGTGACATTTTTTGCCTCAGGTCACCAGATTTTACCTATTAGTTTGCTAACAGTCGTTGTAACAAATTTATCAGACATTCTTCCAAGAAACTGAAAATTTGCCTTATATTTTTCGGCACGGACCTTATCCTAGAACTGGTACTGACCCTCAGAAGTTTGGGCATCCAAAGATCCTATTTTCTCTATTTGAGTAACACCTCATCACAGAAACGCCTAAATTATTATAGAAGAGTGGGCTCCCTGCTGGTCCAAGCACCTACATGTCCATTCAGTTCATGAACAATCACCTCCATCCTTTAGTCTGCACCACTGATTTGGAAAAAGCCACACTGTTTCTGCACATAAAAATTCGTGAGTAATGAAAGCTGCAGCCAGGGCCATTAGCGCAAAGGCCTGGAAGGGTCTATTACCAATGACCTGCTTAATTCAGGCTGTAGTGAGAGGGAAACTATATATATATTTTTTTCATCAAGGTCAGCTTTGCCCAAGTACCATCCAAAGTTTGGAAGCTACACATCTGTCCCTGAATCCCGGAGGTTAAATGCCAATGAAGTCAGAATATTTTAATTTAGGCATTTGCTTCCATCTTCTGCCCACCTTCTTATCTGTCTTAAACTCAGGACACTTCTGATGGCCCAGCTGCCCTACCTCACCTGCTCCCAGCCCAGAAGACTGAGAGTTCCATGGTGGTACAACTCTTCAAAACTCACGGGTGGTCCCAGGGAGTGAGATAGTTCTCTGCCTCCGGAGGAGCTGGTTCTATTGAAGCCTGCACATGGGACACGCCAGCCAGCCTTTCAGCCCATCCACACGGAATCTGTGCCTCCGTAAAAGGCACTGGGCATGGGGCCTGGCACATATTCAGCACCATGTGAATACCAACTCCTAGCTGCCACCTCCTCTTCCTCATCCAACCAGCTCACATGTATGTACCTGCCGGCTGCAAGGATGCCCTACAGACACCCGTGCTCTCAAGACCCACTTTCTCACCTTTGCGTTTTTCAGCAACACTTTCACATATATTGTCTCACGGGATCACTTCAATAAGCCAACATTATCCTTAGTTTACACGACTCGGGCTCAGGAAAGCTAAGTGTCTGGCCCGAGAAGACTTAAATGGCCAAGTTCATTGTCACTTGACTTGAATTAGTAGCATTGCTGAGATGAGAATTTGGGTCTTCCTGGGGCCTCCCCTAGGGCGGGGACGAGAGAGGGCAGCAGGCTGGGGGCATGGTCCTTTCTCCGCAGAAGCCAAGGTGCTACCTGCTGATGGCTTTGGGAGTTTGCACCTGGCCAAACAGGCATCCGCTTCCCAAATTCCCCGAGCAGCACCGTGCTTCTTGGAAACACCAAGTGGGACACATGTACCTGGGGGAAGCAGATGCCCCGGGAGAGTGACTTGTGCAGGGGAGGATGTGCCCCAGGAGTGGGTCGGCATCGGTGACTATCATTACCCAGCCTGCGGCACGGCTGGGGTGACTGGGACCATGGCTACTCCCTCAACGCTAGCTCGAATCTCTACTCTTTCTTTAGTCCCTTTCTTATATTTTAAATTTGAAGCCCACTGCCACGGGCCATGGGCCGGGCCGCGCGGGCTTTCCGGGAGTGGCGTGGGCACCAGCAGCGTGTCTTCCTCCTTCTCCCCACTCCAGGCCATTCTCCCAGCCTTGGGATCCGTCCCACCGTTTCCTTCAGATCCTTCTTCCACTAGCAGAAAAGTACAAACACCTAATCTGAAAGCTTCCTCCTTTAAGCTATTCTATTCGCAAGCCGCAGTGGTTGGCATTTTAATAGCTGCACACAAGAAAGAGATCTGAGATACTCTAAGAAAATAACTGCACGTAGTCCTTTGTTTCTCCGCTCCTCTGTCCTCATCTCAGATATGGCCACCAGAATTAAACACAATATTCTGGATGTCAAACTAAAATTCACAGCTTTGGTAAATATTAGGTGATTAAGCTATTTATAAAATCTATAATTTGAAAATCTGGCATTTCGGGTGCTATGATCATTCCCTCCCCGCGAAGACTAAGTGCTTAACCATGTGGAAGGCACTGCCAAGAACGGAAATGAATAAGGATGTTCACTTTTGAGTTTCAACTCTTTCCACGTTGCCTGTGTGTGGAGATGAAGTCTCCCTGTGAAAAGCCAAGTGAGAGAGGAAGAGGGAGAAAAGCCCTTGCAAGCAAGCGATTCCATTATGCTCCTGAAAACGAGTCTCTTCCCCTCCCCCCCCCCATGAATCAGCATCACCGCCAACTACGTCCCCTAAGCGGGAAAATGCCCCATTCTGCAGGACAGGGGGCGGAGAGGGGGGCTTACCAGGAGGTCCACCATGTTGGGCTTGTTGTTCCTCAGCGTCTTCACCGCGTGGAAGACGTCCACCGTCCTCTGGTGCCGGAGCATCTCACAGACGATGCTGATGGCGCAGAACGTCCCACTACGGCCTCCCCCGTTCCTGTCGGAAGAGAAATCAGACGGTTGCGTTTGCCCTCACACTGCCTGCTCACGTGCCGCCCAAGCCCCGGATGACAGGTCACGGTGAGGGCCTCAGAGGCCAGGGGAATGCTCCCCCCGGCCTGATTCTTGCAATTAGAGCAAATGGTGTTAATGAGCCTCAGTGCTGGGGCCGTGGGTCACCTGATTGGAGGCGACGATCAACTGGCACGTTCTGCTTTCCTAGCTTGGCCTCCGCCCTGGATTATATAATCTGATATAGCATGCTATCAGTTTTTAGTCAAAGGGTCCATTCCGGAAAATTTCCAGTGATCAAACACCTCATCTAGTATCTGCCACCAAAACCGGTGATGAGTGTTGCTTATGTTCCAAGATGGACTTGGCCTTAAAAAAAATCCATTAGTGTTTCATTATTTATCTCTAAAACATAAGGGCTCTTTCTGATAAAACTTTTCATTTTGAGCTAATTTTAGATGTACAGAATCATTGCAAACACAGCATGATGAGTTTCCTAGCATACCCACCTCCCCCTGAGGCAAACATCTTACAGTCATAGTAAGTGACCGGAACCAGGAAATTAACACTGGTGCAGTAATAGTGTTAACGAAACTACAGGTCCTAGTCAGATGTCACCAGTCAAATGTCACCAATGTCCTTTTTTTGGTCCAGGATCCAATCCCAGACCCTGCTTTGCACTGACTTGTCCTGGCTCTTTAGTCTCCTCCATCTGGGACAGGTCCTCAGTCTTTCCTTGTTTTTCTTGACCTTGACACTTTTGAAGAGTACTGATCAGTTAATTTGTAGAATACAAAATATAGAATGTAGATGTAGAAAGTAGCCATGGTTTTAATCTATAAGTTCCTCTTTGCTCTTTTTCTCTTAGCAATTTATTTGTTGAAGTAATGGGGTCTTCTTTCCTGGAGAAAGCCCCACATCCTGGGTTGTTCTCATTCATTGCATTTCTGTGACTCATTTAGCATGTTTCTCTCTAATCCTTATTTCCTATATATTGGGAGTTAGCTCCACAGCTTCGTAAGAATTACATGTTTTTAAAGACAAGGATACCTTACAAGTAAACTTTCATTAGGAAGCCGGCACAAAATATCAAGTTGTCCCTTGTTTTGTGATTTTAAGATTGATCATTGTGTCAGAATGCCAGCTTGATCAGTTCATTATTAAGTCCCAAATCAGTTTTTTAAATAAAGTATAATGGAACTCCAATTAAGCTCACAAATGGTAAGTATATATCTCAGTTAATTTCCAAATGCATGTGCCACATAATCACCATTCAGATCAAGATGCAGACCATGATTAGCCCCCCTAGACCTCCCTCAGACTTCTTCCTCATCAATACCATCAGTAACTCAAAGATGAGCCCTGTTTTCATTTTTTAGCGTCATAAATTTCTTTGGTCTGTTTTTGAATTTTGTATAAATGGAATCATTTGGTACATACTCTTTTGCATCTGGCTTATTTCACTTAATATTATCTGTGTGAGAATCATCCATCTTGTATCTATGGTTTGTTCTTTTTTTTTTTTTAAAGATTTTATTTATTTGACAGAGAGAAAGACAGCCAGAGAGGGAACATAAGCAGGGGGAGTGGGAGAGGGAGAAGCAGGCTTCCTGCGGAGCAGGGAGCCTGAGGCGGGGCTCGATCCCAGGCCCCTAGGATCATGACCTGAGCCAAAGGCAGACGCCTAACGAATGAGCCACCCAGGCGCCCCTACGGTTTATTCTTTTATATTGCTCACAATAATCCCATTGACTGGATATACTACTGTATAATTTATCTATCTACCAGCTGAGGAATATTTGGGCTGTTTCTAGTTTTCAGTGTTATGAGTAAACCTGCTATAAAAATGTCTCCTGGTGCATATAGGACTCACTTCTGTAGTCATGTACCTGGGAGGGGAAGAGCTCAGAGAATATACTTATATTTAGCATTCGTTGTTGTTGTCAAACAGACCCAAAATGGCAGTACCATATTTACTTCCTGTCAGCAGGTACGGGAGTTCCAGTTACTCTGCAGCTTCACCAACACTTGGTATTTTCATTTATTTGTTTGTCTTTTAAATTTCACCCATTCTGGTGAGTGTGTAGGGGGCATCCGATCCTGGTTTTAGTATTATCCTGAAAATGAATAATGCTGAGTACCTTTTCTGCGTTTATGGGCCACGTACATCTTCTTTGTTTAAAAAATGAAGTTCTTGTCAAGTCTATTGCTCAAACAACTGGGTCGATCTTTTCTTGCTGGCTTGCAGTAGTTAGGCATTCTGGCCATGAGTCCTTTGTCAAATGCACGTATCACAAAATTCTTTCCCCATTCTGCGTCTTGCTCTTTCACTCTCCTTCGTGTCTTTTGATGAACAGAAGTGGTTAACTCTAATGAAATCCTATTTTTCAATATTTTCTTTTGTGGCTAGCGTTCTGTGTCTTGGGTGACATCAACTTTGGTTACCTCATGGTCATGAAGGTTTTCTCCTGGAAGCCTCATTGTCTTCCTTTTCACATTTGGGCCCATGATCCATCTGGAAATGATTTCTGTATGCAGCACGAGGAGGGAGACCAGGTGGGCGGGCTGTCTTTTCCTGCTGTCTGCCCTGCAGGAGGTGTGTTGCTATGAGGCCTTTGTTGTAAATCAGGTGAACTTGAGGTGTGGCTCCATTTCTGGATTTTCTCTTCTGCTCCATTAGCCTACTTTCTGTCTTCGCACTGATACCACACTGCTTTCCCCCCACCAGCTTTTCACCTGATGCTTTCAGCAGCTGTTGATTAACATTGTCTACATCCATTAGCCTCATCAAGGGTTGCAAAATGGTGATTTCTTACTTCTATCCACTTCTTCTGGTTTTATGAGCTGGAAGACGTATAAAGAAAAAAAAACCCTATTTGCTCACCGTGAATGTACGTTTGGCTCAAGGAACCATTCCATTTACAGAACCTGGAGGCCTGTCTCTGGCAGGGACTGCTCCGCCACAACCATTAGGTGGCACTATGCTATGCTGAATATAATGTGCTTACCTCAGAAATGAACAGCAGAGAGCTTTTGTGGTTCCATGCATTCTTTCCTGGCCTATGTTGGAGGATACGAATTCAACCTAACTTTGTTTCTCACAACTAGAAAATCTTCAATTTAGACTTATATTTATAAATTTAGATTTATGTTTACTTTAGATTATATATATATATTTATAAATCTAAACAACAATAAACACTCTTACCAGGCACAGGTCTCATGCCCACCCTGATGCCAAGAGAGCAAGAGGCAGCCCCATGGGAACCATGGGGACTTCAGAATTGGGGAAAATGTTTCCCAAGGAAAGATCAAGTTTCTCGTACCAGAAGAGGGGTGGGGTGCTGGGCTGGCAGGAGGGCAGAAACAACGGATGCCCACCACTGTCCACTCTAGAGAACAGCTCTCTGTAGACATCACATGGAATGGTAATGTAATGGCTTAGTTCTGGGATCACAGCTGGGTCTTGGGAGAGTATAGTCGTGGTTGTCTATGAGGTGCAGTGATTTAAGTGGTCTCTGTATCTTCCCCTCAGGCCTGTCCTGGTGCCTCAACTTCCCCCAGTGTGACTCAGTCCTTTGGGTTACAGCACTGGCCCTTGTTAGGAAGCTACCAATCAAAGGGGGGGCGCCATGCATGCATCACATTCCTAGTTCCAGATGCTGGCAGACTCCAAACACAGAAATGGGTATCTGCAGAGTGTTTTTAGTTTTTTTCAAAAGACCTAACAGATAGAGTACAAACCCTAACTAAAATGTCAATTTCCCTTGCTGGGACTCTATCAGTTCACACTGGTGACCCACCGCCCCCCCCCCGCCCCGGTTGTATTCTGATCAGAAGTTATATCGGCACTTAAGAGAAATAAAAATGGGGATGTGCACTGCTAATCTTCTTTGACACTTTCTTGGTAGAGATGTTTTTAATGAACTGGGTCTCTGAGAAGGAAGGGACGAGTAGTAAATGCTGAGGACAAAGGATTGGGGCCTCTGGTTGAGGCTAAGTGTGAATGGGTTCATAAGACTCTTTTCAAGAGAATGTCAGTTTCTGTAGGACGAGACACTGCCACCTTTTGACTCCTGGGAGGCAGAGCAGAGTTCTAGGGTCTCACAGACCCTCCTGGGCCCCTGGGTGGGTGGCATTGCGTGAGGTATGGGCACCAAGGGGAGAAATCCAGGTCCTTAGGCAAGCTTATCATTTTAACCAGGGTTGGTCTGCCCAGAGTTAAACCTTATTTTCCCTTCAACTTGGGAGAGATCTCACTGTGTGCTAATGAAACTCCACTGAAAAGAGACATAAGCTTATACTTGAAGTTCCACAAATTCTCTAAACATCTTCCCTAACTGCCATGACTTTCTAATTGCTTGCTCCATTAAGCCAATCCCAGCTGGCTGATTAGCTACATATCATCACCAATGAGCAAATGCAGGTGAAAATGCTCTGAAAAGTGTGGCTGTCTCTATTCAGGGGCTCTCAACCTTAGCCACACATTGAAATAATCTAGGAGTTTGAAAAAACAACGATGTCTGGGGCCCATCCTCAGGGATTTTGATTTAATTGCTTTGGGTGTGGCCTGGGCATGGTTTTTGTTTTTTGTTGTTGTTGCTTTAAAAATCTCCCCAAATGACCCTCAATGTGCAGCCACAATTGGGAATCAGTGCTCTGTAGCAGAGGTTTTCCCATTTGAGCGCCTTCTAGATCTTCTGGCCTGCAGACCACACTTCGGAGATACTGGTTCTAACCAAATCTTCCCTATATATGTACTTTCCCAGGCAAAAACCAAGACACAAACAAACACAATTCTCTTAAAAGACAATTCCTTTGAAAGACAGTTCCTTTGAAACTTCTAACATGATTTCCTATAGGATCACCAACTAGTGTGATGGTAAAGATGCTATCACCAGCTTTGCCAAACCAGGAGAGGGTCCTGATTTGCAGCATTTGCTGATGTGGGTGATGTAAATGCTTCCACTGGGAATGACTTCGAGTTACCAACAGTTTAAGAACCGGCTCAGAAAATTCCCTTAAACTTAACCCTTGGCTCTCAGGAGCTGGTAGGAGCCCAATGAACCCACTCAGGTGTTTTTTTTGTGGGGGGCGGGGAGGACAATCACAAGGTCAGGGCTTATTTATATAGCAGTGATACCCCATCCGAATGCAAAATGTGCATGTCTTGTTTTCTGCAAAGCAAACCAAATCCTTAACGAGGAGACAGATCATCTGCATTCACCCAGACCCACTGATTTCGTCTCCATTCATAGAGAGACAAGGGGTAGTAAACCAGGGGGGACAGCGGAGCGTTGGCCTGGCCCTTCTGAGGTGCAGAGCTCCCCTTAGCACTTACAAGCAGTGCACAACTGTGCGGCCTTCACCACCATTGTATTCTTCCTGCCACTTATCCACTTGGCGAATAAGCTTCAAGAAGGAGCGCTTGGACACCGGCGTGTCCCTGTACATGGGCCAGCCCAGGAACTGGAATTGCTGCACCATCCGATATCCATCTTGGGGCTAGAAGGAATCAGGCAACAATCAGGGAGTGGAAAGAAAACAGGCACTGTTTACTTGTGGAATACCAGCAGGCTGAGTCCACCTGCTTGGACTTCTCAGCAAAGTAGTACATTACTAAAAAAGAGGCCTGCCTATAAATACCGAAGGAAGCTTCCACTGGCCTGAAGACTTATGAGTTTTAACCTGGAGCTGTTATTGAAAAAACCAGGGGTTTTAAATGACAGGCCAGACAAAGAAAAGTGAAGCAGAATGCTTACAGTTTTGCAAAAGCCAAGTGACAAATAACACACAACGTGAGCACTGACCACGTTGTGCAGTAAGGGGTAAAATGGGTTTCCTTTAATTGCAGGAATTTAAGGGTAAGAAATAAATTATAATCCAGAGACATTTGTGAGCTCAGGTTACATGGCGTTTGTTGTGAGCACAACATGGGTTTGCATGTGGGAATCTTGCTAAGATGTCAGTGGTCAATTAATCTTTACCTACAATTGGAATTGAAGTATTCAAAGAAAGTGTTAGAAAAGTGGCAACAGTTTTAACCCGGCTGCAGCTAAGTCACTTGGATCACGTCTCCCGCGGCCTTTGGCACCTTTGACGTGGGTGATCGCTCTCACTCTCTGACACTTTCTTCCCCAGCTGTTCCTTCTCCACTCTCTGCCCTCTGTCTGGGCCTCCCTTTCTCCCAGACCTCTTGCTGATGGAAGCCCAGGCTCAGTCCTCGGGCCCCCTCTCTCTCTGACCTGATGAGCTCACTCAGTCTCATGGCTTTCAAGACTCCAGTAAGTCATCAGTTTATATCTCCAGGGTGGGCCTCTTCTGAGTTCCCCCTCCATAGATCCAGGCCTACTTGATATGTCCGCTTAGGTTTCTAACAGTCATCTCAAACCCAGCCCGTTTCCTGGCCTTCTCTCCAATGCATGCCCTCTACCCCAAACAGTTCCATCATACCCACAGCCTTCCCTAACTCGATTAATGTCAATTCCATCGGTCCATTTCTCAGGACCTGAATCTTGAGACCCATCCCCTACTCCCTGGGTTCCAGCCTATTCCCAAATCCTGTTGGCTCTGTCATAAGAATATAACAGCATCTCTGCCTCATGTACCTCCAACTGCTGCCACTGCATCCTCCTGTTGTCACTTCTCACTTGGATTCTAATGGCCTCCTGACTGATCTGTTCTCAACCCAGAAGCTACAGTGCCCCTCTTTAATCATGTGATTCTTCTCTCCTCAACCCTGTATCTGCTTCTCATTTCCTTTACAGCAAAAGCCCAAATCCTGGCAGTGGCCTGGAGGTCCTACACAGTCTCTGTCCCCTAACCCCCCAAACCTTGGCCACTTTCCCTTTAGGTGGACAACTCTATTAGCTGCCCTCACCTTCACTTACTGTGCTCTAGCCACATCAGCCTTCTCACTGTTTCTGGACCTCACCAGAGAAGGCCCTACCTCAGGGCCTTCGTATTGACCATTGTTTCTGCCGGCAAAGCTGTCTCCATAGAGCGCTGCGTGGCTGCTCCCTCACTTCTATTGGGTCTTTGCTCACACGGACATCTAGTTAAGACAAGGGACTTGTTCTCCCTCCTGTTCATGGTCTTAGTGCTTTCGACCTCCCCACTTTTTTCCCTAAAGCATTTATTGCTTCTAACATACTCTATCTATTATAATATCTGTTATATCTATTATTTATTGTCTGTTTTCTCCCATTAGAACGTGAGCTCCATGAGGTCAGGGAGCTTTGTTTTGTTCACAAACACCTAGAATGTATTCCAAACTTCTAACCGGTAGGGACTGACACAGAGCGGGCACTCTAGATGTTCGGTGAATGAGAAAATAATGAAACCAGAACATAAGTGACATTGGCTGTGATTCTTACTCTGGCTGCGTTATAAATCCGGAATATCCTGCTGATGATGTCTTCTTCTAAGTCAGCAGAAACAAATTCCACTTGGATGGGGCCATGTCTGTGAACTCCGTTCTCTGGCCAGTACTGCGGACACAACTGAATTCAAAACACAGAAACGTGAGGTTAATCATAGGAATAAATTGACTCCTGGGCACCTGGGTGGCTCAGTCGTTAAGCGTCTGGGAGTGGAAAGAAAACAGGCACTGTTTTCCCAGGGTCCTGGGATCGAGCCCCGCATCGGGCTCCCTGCTCCACAGGAAGCCTGCTTCTCCCTCTCCCACTCCCCACTGCTTGTGTTCCCTCTCTCACTGTGTCTCTGTCAAATAAATAAAATCTTAAAAAAAAAAAAGAAATAAATTGACTCCTAACGGTTTGGATGAGGTCACTATTGACATTCAGTAAGTCTTAATACTTCCTTGCTTCATTTCATTTTCTTTCCTCTCTCTCTTTTCCTCCCAGCAAGTAGGCTTAAGGATTTTCTTGTTGGCTGATTCCTCAACTCCACCTGTCCTTCCAGTACTTTTTTCTTCATTTCCTCAGAAAGCGTCTTTAAGCCACGAGCCATTCTGCTTTCCAAGGAGGCCACGTGGATGCTGTTCAATGCATCCCTTTGTAAGATCCCTTCTGCATGCCTTTATCCGGCCCTGGGGAGATGCCACTGGCTGCCATTACAAGAGCTAAGATACTTGAGATGGTGCACGTACCTACTGATACCCAAATCTCCATCCTCCCCCACGTGGGCTTGCTTTGTAATTTGTAATCACTTTTGGGAACAGGGCCATTCAGTGACAAGATACTGATAACAGTGTTGGGTTGCATTTTCATGATCTGGTCCAAATCCTCCCAGCTGAGATCTAGGAAACCTGATGTAGTAAGAGTAAATGCTTTGCTGTTTTGCCTGGAGGCAGTTTTAATTAAAATCACAATTTCAAGCGCCAAGTATTTTTGATACCGGGTAGCCAGAACTTTGTGTGAATGTGATGCTGGAAAGGGTGGCTTATGAAAGAGGCACCTGCCTTTGCTACCACCCCACAGAAATACTCAACCTGCAGATAGGTGGGGAGAACCCCCAGGACTTTTCCTTCTCACAGACTTTTCCTAAAGCCCTGAGATGCTAATAGGCCTTTAAGGTCTAAAATTAAACTTCTTTTGGGACTTGGTATCCAATGATGTTTTTGGGAGTAGAGTTTAATTTTTATCTTTCTGATTTACCCAAGGGACAAATGGCTTGTGGGGGGCCAAGAGGGAATTACTTCATTATCTTATAACTGGTTTCCATTGGGCCAAGAGCAGATGAAAAACCTATCTCATTTTAAGCAAAATGACGTACCACAAAAGGCGAATCCACCTGTCGAATTTCCTTTTTTTTATGACTTTTATTTTCCAAAGTATCTAAAATCTTACCGTCAAAGGTTGTAAAGGCTGATTTATATCCAAGATTGCAAGATAGTTTTCAGCCAACAGCGGGTCAACTGAAACGGCAATCTCTATTACACAGAAGTTGAAGGTTTGAACTTTACGATCAAGAATGAGGGCGGAATAACTAAGGGTACTTTTTATGTTAGCTAAGTCTATAGTATTTTAAAAAATTACATTTACTTATTTTAAAATAATGCTTCCATAAAAATTTCCCTTCCTTACCAGCACTTTCTGGTGACAAGTTCTAAGACTGCCTTGTCAAATGACAGCATGCTGATGTTTATTTTTTCTTGATACCCAAGTGTACCCACTGTGAAAATTAACAGGCATTATGACGGGAAGTCGAGATGGTAAGCCAAGTCCTAACATGCACATTTGAACTGTTCTGCCCACTTCCCTCCACACTGAGCTAGTTGTGCTTTCTGCTTGCTTTCTCAGTTCAAGCCCTGATTAAAGCTCGTCACTTACACCAGAGAAATATGAATGGCCTGGGCCAGCGCGTGGTTCTTGGCACACTACATTCTGCACTCAGCCCAAGTAAGCTGTGTAGAAAATGGCTTAAATGGTGCATAACACGTCCATGAACCCGATCTATAAATACTTAAAATAGTTGAGTGCTGTTCTTGTACAACTGCAGAGACTTTAAGTTCAAACGCTCAGTTTAGTGTTCTCTAAATGATCGTGTCCCAGGAGCCTCTTTCTGTCACTCTGAAAATCAGCTCTGTCTGCCGAGTGGAATCGGACTCTTTGTCTCTCCTACCATGGTCGGCCAAGGCTTGGTTTGAATCCAGACAGTTCGGGTTTAGGATGCAGCTTTAGAATTGCAATACTGTTGTTCAAAAAGAACAAAGTCACTAATGTCTGATACACTGATATGAAAAAGGCAGTATATCACTACATTCCAGGATTCACATTAGGGGAAAGGGAATGATTCCGAAGAGGGAATAGTCACTTGTCCTCTAATGGTCTGTGGCTCAAGAATCTTGAATTAGTGAAATTTAACCCATGGCACCGTGAGTCAGAAAATCAGGATCCCTGGTGCTATTCTGAGGTGGGCCTTTGAAGTTCCCTGAACTGTGGTGTCTGCTTGTCTTTAAAAATGGCTGCAATCTCTCTTTCGGAGGGAATCAGTGCGGAAGACTTCTAAAATATTTGAGCTTCTTAAGCAAAAAGGACTAGATGAGGACAAGGGTTATCATTATTATCTCATTCACTAGCTTTCAAGCTAGAGCCTTAACAGTATTATGTAGGACCTCAAACATAATTAAAAACATTACAGAATTGAAGTGAATGTCCATGGAATTTATGGCAGATTGATGACAATAAAATGGATTTTAGGAAGGAAAAATCTTGTCCAGGCTGGATGCTGAAACACTTCAGACCCCTTTTTTTTCTTTTTAAAACTTGTCTCTACCAGATAGAAAATTAATTCAGTTTCAGAACAAGTTTATTCTTAAAACACAAGAACTCCACAGTTCCCATAATGCCCTTTTGTCATGGCGGTTAAGCGTGCAGCTGGCGTCGCCGTCCCCTAATGCAAGAAATTCAGCTCCTAAAGGGCCACTGTGCCAATGCCTGCCGACAAGTCCCTTTAGGGGAATGTTTCTAACCCCATTACTAGTACCCAAGTCATCACAGCCCTATTCTTTCTCTTTTTATGTGTAAGGGCAGCAGCTGGGGGAAAGCCCCATTTATCATTCTGAGCTTGTCTTGTGTTCAAGTCCCGGTTTCATTTCTTTTTACTATCTTTACCAAAGAGTTGACAAAAGTAATCGTTGTCCCTTAAAATCACTTGCCGGTCTCCACTGTCACCCCAGCATGACCCTCTCCACCTGCAGGCTCCAGGTGAGCTGTGCCGGTTGGGTGAGGGGTTGTGTCAGGTGCTGCTCTGCTTTCTTCGGGGCTCCCTGGTTTGCTGGCTCTGTTTGGTGTAGGCGGTGCGACACCCTCATCCCGCAGCTCTGACTCTACCCATTACCCTGTATCTCCCTTTAGTTTGTATTTCCATCCTTTGGGAACAGCCAATTTCTGACCCTGTCTTGCCTGTCACTTCCATCAGGTATGATGTCCATCCGTCTTTTTGGTTTCAGATTACTTTTGCCCCCCACCCCTAATTCCATCTGCTTTTCACATTTGTGTTTCAACTCTGGCTCCCACTCGTCACCTGGCGTTTGTGACCTGGCACAGGGGCCTGCACTTCTCGATGCGCAAGCAGAACAAACCCAGAGTTGACCCTGGGCACGAGTCTCACCTGGGCAGGATCCACATCATTTAGCATAACCACAGATGTGCAGTGATAATCCAGGACCAGTCTCCAGAAGTCTTTCACTGTGTTTGGCAAAGGATGCTGGGTGACTATAAAAGCCGAAGGCTGTTTATAGCTCTGCAAACACAAACAAGAAAGATCCAAATATACCCAGGAAAATGGAAAGGGAGGAAGCTTCAGTTATCTCGTACACATGGAAATCTGTGACACGGAACTCTGGGCACATTTAACTGCTGAATCCCAGCACCCCTGTCAACACCAAAACAGACTAAATATAGACTGATCTGCAGAATAATAATGATAAAGTATTCTCACTTTGACACCCAGAAAACTTAATAAGTAGCTCTTACAAATTTTTTGATATATCTGCTAGAAAGGCAACATCAGCCCTACACGTAAGCATTTTAATGGAGAAAATGTAACTTTACAAAGTATGTACAATGAAAATACTTCTGCTTTTCCTAAAATTTGTTCGAGGGTCACTTCTATGGGTGACAGTGTTACTCATTCCTGCCACAGAAGGATACACATGCTTTTTACAGCTCTGGAGAACTTCAAGTAAATTTAGGTACCTTTTTACTGATACCACACCAACAGAATTCAACTTTCCATATTAGCCCTGAAAATATCCATTTACTTTTCCCATCAATCGAACAAGCAAACGTTCATTCAGTTAGAAGTAAACAGACTGACACGAAGTAATGAGTTGTGTGCTGTCCCGACAGACCATTTTTTCCCCCATGTTAATTACTGCCTAAATGAGAAGGGCAGGGGATGAAAATAATGCTGCGAACCATATTATCCCACTTCTCTGCTTTAGTGACTTAATAGCTGTTCTCGCTCACTGGCCAGCGCGTTGAAAATTTAAGTGCTCACAGAGTACCTGGGACATGTTTCATTTATCAATACTTCCCGACTGGTGGTCTCCGGGAGACCGAGATCGTCGGCCTGGACGCAGAAACGTACGTGGAATCGGAAATGCGCTTTGTGGGGAAGATGGTTTGCGTCTTAAGAAAAGGAACAAACAAGGGCCGGGGAGCGGAAGGAGAAGCCCCATCTTCCCGGCTGCTGCCCACGAGGAAGGTCTTCCCGGTTCCTCCAGGGCAGGGCGAGCGGGCGGACTTACGTCCATGAGGGCGGCGTTGATGTAGTTGCTACTCTCCCCGTCGATGGTGATGAGGAAGGGCAGGCAGCGGTCCGGGGGCAGGATGTCCATGCAGCGGTTCTTCTCGTGGTTCCGGGGCAGCAGCGCGATGCTGCAGTCTTCCACGCGCAGGGTCGGCGTCACCATGTTCAGGGTCTACAGGACAGGACGCAGACACGTGGGCAAAAGCACGCTGCGTGCCGCCCAGTCTCACCTTCACACTTGGGCAGGTCCGAGTGTCCTCAGCCAACGACCGGGTGCTCCCCGCCCCCACCTCCCCCTGCTCCCCCTCCCTACTCGGTGCCCTTTTCTCCTCCGTGGATTTTGTCCACAGACAGTGCCCATCAGATATAAGGGCCACCTTGGATCTGGAGGATTGGATTACGTGCCATCCGGTCTGACGAGGGCCGGACATCTGGGTGCGTGAGAGGAAGAGGTTGGCTACAGTTTGACTTAGAGTCAGGTACACTTAGACCGACCGCCCAGCAAGTATGGTGAGGGCACCTTGCTTGGTCTGGCTGCACCCATGTTACACTGTAGGACTGCCTGGTGTCTGCCTGCAAGGGGCCTTAAGGGCTCTGCTAGACCAGCTGTTCTCAACCAGGTCCCTTTGCTCCCAGGGGCCCTGGCAATGTTTGCACACAGTTTTGACTGTCACTGCTAGTGTGGTGGAGGTCTCCTGGCATCCAGGAAGTAGAAGCCAGGGGGTGCTGCTAAACATCCTACAGGATAGCACCCACAGCCAAGAGTTATCCAGCTCAAAATGTCAGTAATGCTGAGGTTGACAAGCTCTGTGTTGGCTCAGGGGTTCCAGAGCTGACTTCGAGAGACTTCTGAAGAAGCAAAGCCACAGCCAGCTCCCTCTCCCTCTCTCATGACTTACCCGGAACTCCTCTTTAATCTGGCTGGAGTTAGTCTGTGGATCCAGTTTGTTCATGTCATAATACAGAGACCTAACTTGGGAAGCAGGGACCGAGGTGTCACCACAAAGACAGGCTTCCAGGATGGCATCATGGATAAACACATACTGCTCCTGGAGAAGCAGAGGGGCCGAGTTAGTGATAGAGAAACCAGGTGCACTGGGAGAACTAGAGAAGGCAAGACAGCTCCCTGCAGACAAGATGACGGGACAGTGGCCCGTCATGGACAATCCATTCCCGCCACAGCGAAACCAGGTGTAAGGACCTGACCGCTGGGAGGTGGGGATCCCGCTACTGGTAGTGCTGGTGCCCCCGTGGGATGGCTGGCACGTCTCCTGACTGGCCCCAGGTGGCGCACGACAGGAGGAAGAGACACGGGCTCAACGCAGAGAAGCTTGACACAGATTGATGAAAACGACCCAGACACTGATAAATCCCAGAGCAAGCACTGTCATCTACATAGCTGCGGCTTAACTACCCCTGTAATTCTGAGCCCACGAGTTTGGGACTCAATATTCCAGGTGAGGAGAGGAGCACAATCTCATCTCTCTGTCCTGAAAAGAGGCATTTGCTAACCAACAGTGCAGAGAACGTCCAGGGAAACTTGACATCCCTATGAAAATAAATATTTCTGAGCACTTAGAACTACTTCTTTTGAAACATTAATGTGGAAAGAGGGTCCAAAAGTCCTTATGTGTCCAGAGAAGAGCTCTTATATGTAAGCACTAGTCCACAGCTTACAAAAGGGCCCTCTCATTCTAAAATGGCACAGATTTTCACTACAATCAATCAGTAAAGTTTTACCATATTTATTATTGATCTTTAATTACATGAGATGCAAAAAGAGTCTCATTACTTTTTACTTTAATTTCTACAAATTATGAGGGCTCTTAATTCTCAAAAACAGCCCAGTTCTAGTAACACCTCAGACACAGAGCAAGTGGGAAAGGGGATGTGGCAACATTTGACTGGCTGTAAAATACATTAAAAAAATACATTACTATCATTATCATCTTTAAAGCAAAGAATCCCTACTCTAGAGAAAAAAGAAGATGAAAGCATTTAGAATTTCTGCTATTTTTATTTAGGTTATCTGAAAATGGAATTAGGTTTTTGTAAACTTGAAACTAGTGGCTTTTGTAAACTTGAATGCAAAATCTAAATGGAAGGGATTCTTATTTATTCTTCATTCTGCTTTTTTTTTAAAGATTTTATTTATTTATTTCAGAGAGAGAGAGCACGTGTGCCTGAGCATGAGAGGGGGGGAGGGGCAGAGGAAGAGGAAGCAAATTCCCCACCGAGCAGGGAACCTGACCCAAGGGGGGCTTGATCCCAGGACCCTGAGATTATGACCTGAGCCGAAGGCAGATGCTTAACCAACTGAGCCACCCAGGTGCCCCTTCATGCTGCTTTATGAATCATTTTTTCCTAGGTGGTGGGTATAATGCCTACTTAAAACAAGCAAACATTAAGTAAAAATATGAAGTTCTTCGGGGCAGGATGTAATTTTTTTTTCCTCAAACACTTAAATTCCTGACACACTTTGAATTCTAATTTATAGAAGTACTAGTCAGTACGGAGTATTTATATAAAATGCGCAAATTCCCATGATGCCAAGCCAGTGGGCAGAATTTGGAATAAAGTGTACAGAGATTAGCCTTAAGCCACTTGGCAAACGTCTGGCTATTCTCAGGAGTCGTCTTGTTCTGGTTACTAGCTAGTTTAAAAGACATAAAAAAATAGTACTGAATCCCTGGAAGCTTAATATAGAGACTCTACTGGGGCCCTTGATACAGAAGCATGGGCAAATTTAGGCTCCTGGCTACAGATTCCATCACCTGGGAGACTCCTGGTCTTTTCTGTTTATGAAAGGAGAAGAAAAAGAAGGAAGGGAGGGAAGGTGGGAGGAAGAAGGAAAGAGAGATGCCAGGTTTATCACTTTTTCTTCTGGGGAGTTTTGAAGACAGAATTGTCAGTGTTTCTTCCCCACTTGGCTGTGGGATATGGGGCGCGGGGGTATGGGGGACCAAGCCCGAGGATGGGCGGAGAGCAGCAGTACCTCTGTCTGCACCATGTTCACCCTCCGTGACCGCAGCTCCCGCACGCAGTTATAGATGTCAACCACGCCTTCCCTTTCTGCCATGTCCAACATGATATCGATCACGATGAAACAGCCGGTCCTCCCTGCGCCAGCACTGGGTGGAAAGAGGGCCCTGTCAGCTGCGGAAAAAGGACCCCTGTGCTTCTCCTTCTTTTACATCTTTGCTGTGATGAGAGTCATACCGCATAAAAGGAACCATTTTGTAGTGTACAGCTCAGTGGCATTTAGCACCTTCACAATGTTGTGCAACCATCATCTCTGTCGAGTTCCAAAACACTGTCATCACCCCAAAGGAGCTCCCCTGGACCCCTTGCCCACTGAGAGGCCTCGTTTGAGAGGCTCCAGGCGCTCTGCTTACCTGCAGTGCACCACCAACGGGCCTGCGTTGGGCGGGCTCTTGGATTTGACCTGCCGGACGAACCCCAGCAGCCCTGTGGCATGATAGGGTACCCCGTGATCCGGCCAGCCAGTGAAGTGAAACTGTCTGATCTCGCGGATTTCGTGAACACCTCTCTGCCATTGGTTGGTCAGCAGGGCAAGGAAGAGAACAAAGGAAAATAAATAAATGATAAGCAACCAGGAGAACGTCAAGTACCCCTAAGCAGTCAGTAAGCCTAGGGCTAGGAAGCTATGCATTGCTGGGAAGAAGGTCATTCTTAGATTTAACACACACTTGGGAAGCCTTATTCCAGGTAGGAAGATGTTGGTGGGGGTGCAAGGGAGGTGATGTTTGGGGAAAATGCTAATTTGCAGGTGCAATTGCAGCAAATGCATCTCTGATTCCTCGAAATTCCTTTCCACAAAGCAGGCTCTATTAACAGTTTGTGTGTCACTTAGAGCCTGTGCTGGGAAGTGCAAGTCCACAGAGAGAGAGGCACAGAACAGGAACCTGAAGTAATTCAAAGGTGTTTGTGGGCCTGAGACCAGCTACTGAAATGCAGGAGCCTTGTTTAGCTCTTTCGTATCCTGGTACCTTTTTGTACCAGGTACTCGAGCAGAGCGCATGCTATGGGTGCAGAGAACGCCCCTGGAAGAATGAATGAGGATCACTTTCCAACTAGATAGGCCAGAGAAGGAATTTTCATTTGCACCTCGAGTTTGTTAGGCTTCTCTAATTTGGGTAAACATTTACTCCATTCACCCAATCACCAACCATCAGAGTGAATGCAATGCTTTAGGCATGACTCCAGATGCTAGGGTCACAGAGGTATGAAGACAGTGTTTCCTGTCTTCAAGTGGCCATAATGGTCGGCTTCTGGCAAATAGCCAGGGCCGCAAATGTATCATGTATAAATGTATACCATGGAAATCAAGAGGCATTTTTCCTGGAATTCTATGTTAGATCAGTAACATGCCTCCCTCCTAAACTGAATGGAAGACAGAAGGAAAAAGACTTGAAGAATTTTTTTTTTTAAATTTACTCGTTTTGAAAATAGTTGATTTATAGCCATCAATTTTTTTTCTAACTATGAACCTATGTGTTAAGGCTGTGTTGTAAAACAGCAATCTGTTTTGAAGAAAACATTACTTCCAGAATCAAGGCTGGTTTGTAAACCTGGGATCAAATTTGACTTTCTCCTATGTCTTATTTGGTGACCACTTACTGAATACCACCTCTGTGTTGGGCCCTGAGTTTGGTTTTATTTTATCTTAATGTTAAATACCCACTAACCTTGTCACATTCACCATTGGTCATTGTTCATACAAACTTAGTAAGCAAAGAAGAAATTCAGAATTTTTTAAAGAAACTCAGAATTTTAATGTGCCTAGAAAGACTAGAAAATGCACACAATTACAGATTTTAAGGTAAGACTTGTATGCTGTCAAGGTGTTAATATGTTTTAGTTTAATAACCCACAAATGCTGAAGCTTTATTTCTCTTTGAAATTCATGCTGTTCTTTAATGGAGTTTAAGCATTAAGGAATTAAACCATCAGGGATTCAGATATGACAAACCACACTGTCGTCTAGTCTACTAAATATGTTCTGTGACTCCAGACTAATTCTACTCGGTGGTTAGGAGCCCACATCTCTTATCACTTAAACCATGTTAACATTTTGGCCAGGCCCAAAGTCTCCACCAGAAGACAAATGGTTGAGCCTGTATCACCCTACAGCCCACTAGAGAGGCCCCCTGAGCTTTACATATGATGACTGGGGCAGGGGTGGCTCCATGAAGTGGGAAAGCCTATAATAAATATTTATTTATTCCCAAGAGGACCAAAGGGTATTTGTTTCTCCCATACATTGTTGTTGCCTTTTTTTTTTTAATTTTAATTTTTTGAGATCTTCACTTCCTAGCTTTGCTAGATTTTATCTCCAGCATCCTCCAAATCCAGAACTCCAGCCATCAGGAGATGGGCCCCCAGCTGATCTCTCTTAAGACTCATTTTCTGAGCAAGGTAAATGTCAGTTTGTGGCATGCAGAAAACGTTTTCCTAAAATAAGCCTGTACCATCTAAATATGTTCGCTGTTGACAAGATTAGCAAAGGCAATTGCTTCTGAGCCAACTCTCATTCTTGTTCGTCAATGTGGCAATTTCCCCTTTTGCTGTTCTGTAATATATTTTGGGGGAAAATCATCGTGTGATCACTGATTGCAGCCCAAATATCCCAACTGGATATCAACTATATTTTTTGTTTCCTTTTCATTGTAACAAGTATTAATGCTACATAAAAAGGAGGCATTTACTTC